ATATATATATAATATATATATATATATGTGTGTATATATATAAATATGTTTATATATGTGTATATATGTATATCATTTCATTATATATGTATGTGTATAATTTTTAAATTTTTATTTTTATTTTTATTATTTTATTTTTATTTTGTATTAATTAATATTATTAAATATTAGGGATTGATGATGTGGCAGATGACTAGGATGCCACGTCAGCATTAAATAATATATTTTTTCGTTCAGGGTTTTATTTGCCAATTTTTAAAAGTATAGAGTTTTAATTGCCAATTTTTAAAAGTACAGTGTTTTTTTGGATAAAAAAAAAGTACAGGGTTTAAATTGCGACGAGAGAAAAATACAGGGTTTTAAATGGAATTATCCCATAAAAAAACGCAAGGAAAGGAATCATATGAAACCAAGACAAATCATACGTGAACTTGTCACTCATGGGCAATATAAATTGGTTTATATCTCTCGTGTGTTTTGCATACTATCAGGAAGATCAAAGATTTATCTTGTATACATTTGAAAGACAATGATCGTGGATTTTGACGTTATAAAAAAAAAATCCTCAAGATGAACTGGCTCGTCTTGCTTCTCTATAGAATCTTCCAAATGATTCGGTTCATCCCGGCTCTCCATAGGATCTTCTGAATGATTCTGCTCATCATGTCCCCTCTTTGTATGATCCGACTCGTCCCGACCCTCCAGAGGAGTTTCGATATGATCGGACTCATCATGGTTCTCCAAAAGATCTTCAAAACGAGCCGGTTCATCATGTGTCTTTGTATGAATCAGCTCGTGCTGCCTCTCCAAAGGAGTTTCGATACGATCGGACTCGTCTTGCCTCTCCGTAGGATCTTCCGTCTCATCATTCTCTCCGGCTTGGTTAGAAGTCCCTATTCCTTCCCCACAAAATCAAAATCCAATATATATTTCAATTATTGATATGATGGGGAACATGTAGTTCTATCATAACGTTGAAGCTCTTATTTTAATAGAGTATCACATTCCAACATATATAGAAGTCCCAACGTTACATTAACAACGGCTAAACCAAGAAACTGAAACTTTAATCTCAAGAGCAATTGGAACTCACACTTCTTCAATCTTCATCGTATCTCGGGTCCGACGCTTTCTGAAAGACACGAGAGGGTTAATTATTGGCAAATTACCAAAACGGAAGCATAAGCTAAAACATAAACCGCATTTTTTTTAGGAATTCAAACCAAGATTAGAAACTATAACGAAAATGAAGATATGGCACGACTGTAATATTAGGCATACAGACCGAAAGACTAAAAAAAAATATTTGTAGCGGTGTTGAGTTGTTCTTTTGAATTTCTGTAACGGTTACCATTAATGTGAAAAGATTAAATAGCAATTACTGAGTGAAACAATTAATTAGGTTGCGTTCGACCAACTCTCTCCCCGTACATGCAGACGTACCTCAAGTGCCAGTAAGAAATCCGACGTGGTAATTGTCTCGTTCCAATCAGCCTCAAATTTTGCGTGAAGCCGCATCATGAATTCTGACTTTTCTAGTGCTGAAATATTTTCAGACACATCTCTTCGACCAAACACCTTTTCCGTGCAATAGTATCTCTACATGGATCGTAAAGGAGGAGAGTAATATTTTTACATTAAAAGCAATAAAGACAAGATACATGCACATGCACGCACGTATATTCTGCCATGCATGAGGAAGTTCTTTGATAAGAGTAAGTACTTGAAAATCAATGAGAAGCATCAAACCTGAATCTCTCGGTTGTACACATCTAACGACTTCATGATCTCACGGCTACGGTCCTCTCTTGTCAGATCTTTGTCAGCGACACGCCCCTGATACAAGGTTAAATATCATTTTAATCAAACGATAAAATGAAGATTAATTGGGTTCATATACGTTCATATCAAAGGTTAATGGTCTTATATATATATATATATATATATATACCAGAGGGAGTAAGCATTCCAGGTGGAGAGCAAAATCGCAGAGTTCACATTTATAAGCAGGACCCGCTGGATCAAAAGGACACTCGCAAAAGTAGCACCTGGTGAGACTACCGGGCATGTCGGTCAATGAATATCTGAGCCTGACGATATGCAAGAAATCCCACTTGCACTTAACGTGAACCGGCAGTCCGAGGCACTCCACGTGGTGGCCTAAGCTACACTTGTCGCATCCATAGAACCAATCAGCGTCACACGGCTTCCTACAGACGTTGCATTCCAGAGTCGTTATCGTGCCTCTCTGATTGATACGAGCCCTGAAGTAACGGAGATTGTGTTCGTGACATTCGACCTCTAGTGCTGCCTCGGGGCAATTCACGTGGTAAACAACGGGTCCCCACTCACAAAAATCTTCAGTACATATATACCCGTAGTTATGAACCATTCGTCTGCAATCCTCACAACGCATTCCTCCGTTCGAACTTGTAAGGTGGAGAGGATGAAAGGACGAATGTGATGGGCGGACCACCGTTTGTCCCACGAGTTGAAGACACTGGTCGTGATATGTTTCTTCACATTGGGGACATGACGAGCCATTTCCATGTATAATCTCATCACATATACTGCAATCAACCGGTTTCGAACTTTGGAAGAATTGAACCAAGTTATGACCAGCCTATTAGAATATATGTTATGGCCAAAACAGTTTTTATAAAGATATGGGCAAATTAGTTTATTAGGAATAGTTATGGGTAAATTAGTTTTTGTATATTATGTTGCCCATACTCTATTGTCTCTTTTATGTGTATAAATAGATGTGTATGTAGAGAGAAATAAAATGGTATCAGAGTTTTTTGTGTCTTCATTTTTGTGTCTTCATTTTGCTTCCGTATGTTTTCTATGTTTTTTGTTTTTTTTTGTTTTTTTTTTTGTCAAAAGTTTTCTATGTTTTTGTTTTCTCTCTAGCCTTGATCTTTCGCTTCCTCTCCAATGACGGAGCTAGAAACCTAGAGCGAAAATGGCGAAATCTCTCTCTTTCGAAATCTTGAGCAAGTTATTTCGAAATTTCTATTTTTTTGCTTGCTTTCTCCTAATCCGACAATCTCGGAGTTGCCCTTCTATTTGTGGGTGGCTATTAGGGTAAACCCTAATTCTTGGTCGGAATTTATGATCCCATGTTTCTGGGTTCTTTCTCTAGCTCTCTCTGTTTCTAATCATCTTCTTCAAGTATTCTGTTTCTGGTATGATCGAACCTTCTTTCTTTTTTATTTTTTGTCAAAGCCATTGATGGCACCCTTATTTTGCCATTTTCACTCATTTAGGAGCTCCATCTTGCTTCCGCTCTTTTCAATAACGTCTTTCAATGACGTTTCTTGGTGATGAATTCACTTTTTGGTTACCCTGTGTAACTCATAGTTTTCATCTATATTTTCTCTGCGAAAATTATGACCGCATCTGGTCAATCTCATCTCTCTTTCAGAGCACAGATTTTATGTTGGACGTTGTCTATTCGTCCTTTATGTTGGTCTTGATGGGTCGCACGGGGACCTCGAGCACCGGTTCACAACCGGTCTCGGGTCTGGTCCGCGGGCTTGCGCAGCGGTGATGACGTTCAAAACGATTTTGAACGTCACAGCTAGGTGTTGAAGCAGCCAACACCCTCTTGAGGCAGCCAACACCCTCTTGATTCCGACCTTTTGATTCCGAATCTGAAGGTTGGTTGAAGATCACAGCTAGGTGTTGAAGCAGCCAACACCCTCTTGAGCAGTCCACACCCTTGGGATGGTTTCCAACACTTGGAAACTTGCTTGCTAGAGCACTTAAGAGATCAAATCTCTCTTTTGGATTCAAGAACACTCATCAACACTAGAGAGAGTTTTCCAGAAGTTCCTGTGGCTCATCAGATGGCCTAGGACGGAATTATGATCGACCTAATGATCCCCACCTGCTTCCCATTTGAGAAAAGGCAAGAAAAAGTCGAATTAATGATTCTGGAGCTTGGTCCGGGCGGACCAGAACTTGGTCCGCCGGACCGCACGTTAAAATGGCTCGGGTTGACTTTTGTCAACGTCTTGGTCCGGGGCTGACCAACCTTGGTCAGCCGGACCAAGACTCGACAAGTCTGCCGACACTCCGCGCAATCCCGATCCGGCGGACCAAATTCCTGGTCCGCCGGACCAGCCGAGTCCGGACCTGCCAACCCTGAGTCCGCCTGTTGTCTGGTCCGCGGGACCAACATTTGGTCCGCCGGACCAGACTAGTCCGAACCATCAGTCCGAGTCCGGGCTGACCTTCCGGTCCGCCGGACCGACCCTGGTCAGCTCCGGACCGGACCTGATTTTCGGACTTGTCTCCAGATCCAACTCTTGGTCCGCCGGACCAGACCTCAAAGACCAAGAAAAATCCGATTTTTCTCGTCCGTGTGATCCTGTCCATATATATCCATCCCTTATGTGTGTGACCCTTTAGGCTCCTCCGAAGACGGCAGTAAACACGAGATCCAATCTCGCTTTACAAATCATAAGCGGTCTCTAGCAAGACATTATGATTATCCACATCGGAAAGAGTTAGATGTGATCTAACCGAAAAGCCAGAGACAGCTCCAACGATGATCCTCTTTGTCTCACGATATCATAATCGAACTCATAGTTCGAATGCTTTGTCGTATCCCGAGTAGACTATTAGAGATAGATGACATTCATCTATAGTGTGGCCACACATTTCCACAGTCTCACTCCTACGACGGGCCCAAGCGATATCTCTCTCTTTCGAGAGGGACAAAGTTTCATCTTGACTATCTACTATCCATTACATGATTCATAATGTACCCGAGCCACGCCTTTATAATCATCCGGTTAAAGACGACGTTTGACGCAGTCAAAGTACATTACTCGTCACGATGGATACAATAGATATCTCAGGTCCGAGGATCCAAAGTGAACCATCAAGTGAGATTTAAGTCATGGATAAATCCAAACGACAATCTCACGCGAGTCATCCAGTCACTTGTTCCAAACAAGTACCCATGACCGTAATCCGTATCCAATACGTATGATCATCATTATGATCATCTATTACGCCTCATGTTAGTCTTAATTCATCATCGTTCCCACAATGACAAACGACTAAGGAATTTAGGATCATACATTACGATCCATGGATAATCATTATTTATCAAATATGCAAAATAAATAATGAATAAATAACGTATTCATCCAATAAATACATCGTTTCATACATGGTTCTCATATCGTATGATCATTCTAGAGCATCATATCCATCAGCTCTTTTACGCTTGATCCGTAAATGAGTAGCACCTTTTTTTTTGGTACATCCGACTTTGATGGTCATTTTTTCCCCGTGCCGTGAAGGCTTATTTATCGCTGTGGAAGCGTTTATCGAGCCGTGGAGCTCGTGTCGTGCCGTGGAGGCATTCTTCGTGCCGTGGAGGCATTCTTCGAGCCGTGGAGTTCATTTCGTGTCGTGGAGGCATTCTTCGAACCGTGGAGGCGTTTATCGAGCTGTGGAGCTCATTTCGTGCCTTCGAGCCGTGGAGGCTTATTTCTCGCCGTTGAGTTGTTCATTAAAGCATGGATGCCAAGTCCCACAAGAGTTTTTTTTTTGTGTAAATGGAGCCACTCACTCAATAGAAGGAATGGCCATAACATTCAAATTAACAGAGTGTTATTTTTCGACATTATAACAGAAGATCTTACAGAGATGTTCCCTGAACTGAACGAACCTCCCCCGATCTAAAACGCTTAAGCAGCTCCTCCATCTTCGCCCTCAGAGGGATAAGAAATAATAAGAAAAGCAAATATGCTATTATGGGCCAAATAATGCGCAAGGGCCTAGGAAATGAACATTGATAAAACCTTGTCGGTCTCGATCTCTGTCCGGCCACGGAAACGGACAGAACCGCCTCAAGTCGAACTTACAACGATCAGGTGGAGAGGTGAGTCCTTGGAGTAAACGATTGATTGAGGGGGTGTGTGTGGATGATTATAATCTCCTAAAATTACAGTTATCCCTGGCTGAGGTCAAAGCCTTTGATGTATGTTCATAAGCTGACGCATTCACACCCTTCAACTTTCTCTTTGATTTTCGTTCTTTTTTCTGTTTTCTATAACCTTTACGGAGTGCAAACAAGTTTATGCGTGATGGGTGATCCATGCTTCTGCTGTTTATCCTTATCGTCCACGCTACAAATGGAGTTGTGCTCATCGTATGTTATTCTATTGATAACTGCCAACTTGTGCATTAAATTAGTAGCAGCATTCGGTGTTGATCTTGTTGTGGCGTTGTCAAGTAGTTCAAGTGACCATTCAAATGGAATATGAAATGGGCGCTTTGGATATGGACGCTGATGGCTGCTCATTATCGGTGTCGTGGAAGAAAATTTCCAGTTTCTGTATTTTAGCAAGTGATGTTATAATAATCATCAATACGATATGGTTGTCCGTGGCGCCCCGCTCGAACCATTTTTCAACTTATAGGAGAAATATTAAAACAATCTATTGCCTGGGTATTAAAGAGGACATCCAAATGATCATTTAGAAACAAACGGTGCGCGATTTGGATAAGAAATGAGAGAGTTATGAGCAATCGAAGTCAGACCAGAAACCTGAAATCGTGCAATGGTTTGTTGCTTGGGTTTGAAATATGACATTGCAATGAAGATTTAGAAACAAACGGTACTCAATTTGGTTGAGAAACGAGGGAGATATGCGTGAATGAAAGTTTAATCACTTTCATCTTGTGGGGGCATATTAGAATATATGTTATGGGCAAAATAATTTTTATAAAGATATGGGCAAATTAGTTTATTAGGAATAGTTATGGGTAAATTAGTTTTTGTATATTATGTTGCTCATACTCTATTGTCTCTTTTATGTGTATAAATAGATGTGTATGTAGAGAGAAAACTCTCCCATTTCTATGAAATGTAAAACAGCCATACACCTTTTCTTCCCTCTTGCCACTTTTTGCACCAACCTTGTATCTCCTCTCGCGCATCTCAGACAGATGACGTAACCGCATGTGCGACAGAACAGATTGAAACCCTCGAAAGCTCTTTTGCAGATATCGCATTCAATGTTCTCGGCCGGAGGCACTGGCAAGAGCGTGAGAGGGTGGCTCCTATGAAACCGTCGTGTTGATTGTTGTCCAAGTTTCGCGCATGCTTCATGTGCCATGAATTCACATTTGCGTGACACGTGAAACGCGCATCTATATGCCCGAATGTCTAGCTTATGTCTACACACCGAGCAAGATGTGTCGAAAACGTCCTCTGTGTCACCAAAACGTTCCAGCAGATGAGTGTGTGTTACATCAACAATCTGCATTACACGTTTAAAATCAAGAAAAAATGTCGCAGTCGATATTTTCGTCCATCCATGAAAACTCGGATTTAGAAAGGAAACGGCTTCAAGGTTCTAAGAACCTCGTACCTTTAGTTGGTCTCCATCGATGTCGCTTCTAGAGGATTCTCCATTAGTTCCTTTATCCTCTCTTGTCACATCTTCAACGTCGTAAGAATATAAACTTCGCAGGTACATTGGTGATGTTTTTTTCTGTAAATTTTGATCGAATATTATAGTATGTGACTGATTCGGAATTTTATTAATTTCTTTTGTTACCTCGCGGAAAAAGCATTCGACATGGGCATAGAACTCACATCCCTTGCAGTAGTAAGCATTTCTTCCATTGGTAATTATTGTCTCGCAAAAGTCAGCAGTAGAAATGGCAAGACTCGTCGAACGTTTTGCACCAAAGAGGATGCGGGTGATGAGATTCGCTCAAGAGAAAACTCGGTAACTTAAGACACTCGTAATGGAAATTCAAGTCGCATGTCACGCAATAGTAGTAAGAGTTCTTGAAGTACTTTTTGAAACTCTTGCATATGTGGCAGGGGTTTGCTCTGTTGAATGCGTACAAAGCCTTTATCGCAACATGAAACAGAGCATGCGGGTGACATTCGTGCTCCAAACCGCGTAACAAAGAATCGGCACACTCTATGTGGAGGTTTAATCCACATTCTACGCAACCAAAGGGAACTCCATTGATCATATCCTGACAAGCATCACAAATGATTCTACGCTCTCCGTGCTGAACATAGTTTAGATGCATCAGAGGATGAGACGGGTGAACGGGATGTCGAATCTCCCGCGGAAGATCGATACACCATTCATGGATAAAGGAGAGACAATATACACAGCCATAACATCTTGTCATGTGGGACACATCACCGTCACACATCAAGCAAGAGCTGCTGAAAACCGCTCCGAGCCTGCACAAGCGGAGCATGTGGCTGTGACTGTAATGATATATCGATTTCTCTTCCCATTCGCGAGTGATTTCCTTGGAAATGCACTCGAGATCAATCTTGATCTCGCACTCTTTGCATTCGTAGTAAGATCCGGAGGAGATGAACCCACATCCGCAGCATATGAATGACTGAGGTTTTTCGTCGGATTGGCGGAGATGGAAGTGTAAAAGATGTTGAGGATGGAGAGTGTGAGTTAACTTTGTATCAGAGAGCTCGAAGCAAGACTGACAGAGCTCAAACCCACAGGCATCGCAAGTGTGATGAATGGAGGTTTCTTTGAAGCACAAGCTGCATGTTCCATCGTCCCCTGCTGTCTCCGACAAGGACGAGGTACAGTGATGTGCAAACTGCTAAAAGAATAGAAGAAACAATTGCGATGGTTGTATTTTGCGTAATTTCTTTCCTTTATATATTGTTTCCCCAATGATTTATATCATTTTCACGTACAAGAGGGAAATTTTATATATATTTTTTTCCCCACCGTATGATACGTTTAAATATGAGATATACTTTCGTATCGATATAGTATTCGCAGGTTAGGAGCACAAGTAAGGAATAACCTTGAAGTAACGAATGAAGGAATTTATTCTTAAACGCACGCAAGGAAGGGATCATAAGAGAAAGATCACATGAGCAAACAAAATGTAAAGTATAAAATAAAGAAGAAGAAAAAAGCAGAGAAATTATAAAACGGAGGAGGAAACGAAACATGTTGTACAGTAATTAACTCAAGCGTGGTCTAGTGATGAGAGAACATGCAAAGCATACTCTCACCCTGGGTTCAAACCCAAACGTGGGGAGGGACATTCACATGGGTTTCCCCGGTCTTCTGAGAGATGTAGTTGGGCCAAAGGCCCGATGAACTTCCAGATTATAAAAAAAAAAATGTTGTACAGTAATGTCTGCTAAACCAGTAACTGATTTTGTAAACCAGGAAATAATTAAACCCGTTAATAACATCTGCATCGTATGATATGTGTGTAGGTAAATATGTGAATTTAGTAATTTGGAAGAAAACAAAGAATGGAATAAAAAAACGCAAGGAAAGGAATCATATGAAACCAAGACAAATCATACGTGAACTTGTCACTTATGGGCAATATAAACTGGTTTATATCTCTCGTGTCATTTGCAGATTATTATTCGAAAAAGTTTATCTGCAGTTGAATGATAGTTATTGCGAGTTTTCACGTTATAAAAAAAAAACCCTCGTATGAATATAGAGCAAACAAAATTTTATTTTTTTTAAAAAATTAATAAAAAACAAAGAAAAACTTCCGGTTTTTAGAACATTGAAGTGCTTCGTGCGTTGGTAACAAAAACTCAAAAGAAATAATAATGAAGGTTCAAACTAGAGTGCCGGAGAGAAACCACCCAAGAGGAGCATATGTATAATATTATACCATTTATACGTACATTCAACCATAAACAGCATGTCTACTGATTTTATTGGGCCGTAAGAGGTTGGGCCCAATAAAGCCCATCAAGGGAAATCGGAATAGGGAAGTAGTCAGAAGCACGACCGTTTTGATTTTTTCTTAATTTCGGGTCGGTTTGAACTGTGAACTTTTTGACGGACCTGAGATCAGAAACTTGGAGGAGGAAGAAGAAGAAATGGAGAGAGAGAGCGGATTGGTGAGTCTGTGCATGGAAGAGGCTTGCAAGAGCTGGGAGGCCATCGAGCGATGGCGTCGGCAGCGGCGGAGCCTCGAACAGCTTCCTCCTCACCTCGCCGATTCTCTCCTCCGCCCCCTCCTCCGACGCCGGT